CTTTCTAAAACTGAAAAGGGGATATGATATAGATATATAGGATATAAAGATGATAAGAAAATGGGTAGATTAATGAACCTACTTTTAAAGAACAACAATGTTCTTGTTTAAAATGTTTTACATTGGTGTAGATTTTAGTTTATGTTTAAAATGTTTTGCATTGGTATAAATTTTAGTTTTTTTGATATAAACTTGAAGTTAATTTTGTTATACTGTATATATATATATATGTATATATATATATTTCTATTCTTGTTTGAGGTATTATGTTTATGTAACTCATTTAAAATTGTAATGGATAATTAAAAATAGATTAATAATTAGTCATCTATGATAATCATATTTGTAGTCATGTTTAGTTAAGTCTTCTAGGTATACATAGATATATTTCAGATAGATAGGTAATCTTCAAAAACTTCATAGACCTAGAGAATATGACATTTAAATAACTTAGAATTCTGTTGACATGAATCACAATTGCTCCTAGTTGCACAATTTGATCCCGAGAGAATGTTGGGCTTCTAAGACATTTCCATTCGGAAGTTTGTCTTCTTGGCACAAAATGGTCTACTGGGCAAAGAACTGCCCTTGCTTTGACAGATGACAGTACAATTGCAATGCTGTCCTTTCTGGACAAGCGAGACACAAGAAAGCGACCACTGTACTCTGCCAAGACAGGGTAAGATGGTCTTTCAGAATTCCTGCTTATAAAAAATGGTCTGTCATATACTCTAGGCCTGTAGCCAATTTGAATGCACCAACAATGCTGAAAAACATTAGGTGACTGTCCAGACTGCCAGCTGTCTTGGTCTACTCTTGCAAGATTCCTGAAAGTTGCTTGCATCCATCTACCATTTCTCAGGTACCATTATGTTCCTTCTCAGGTCTTTGATGTGGTTAAAGACTAGATAGTTGTAATTTCCTCAGTTATGATAAAATATAAGTTAGATATAAAACTTTAAACTCACAAATATAAGATAGATAGGACATCTTCTTTAATATAGTAACTGTAATTCTTGCTCGATAATTGTTTTGTTATATGTAATTTTACTATGTTAAAGTTAAAACCTTCCTTTTTAAAAAAAGAAGAAAAGGGGAAGTGCTGTGGATATCACTCTATATAAATAAAACACTGATGGCCAGTGACCATACAGAAAGTATAGGCGGGACAAGGAGAGGGGAAATTGGGGAAACAGGAAGAAGGGGAGAGAGACACTGCAGCCACCACAAAGACAAGCAGCATGTAAAGACGCCAGTAATCCACCAGCCACGTGGGAAGGTATAGATTTATAGAAATGGGTTAATTTAAGATATAAGAATAGTTAGCAAGAAGCCTGCCACGGCCATGCAGTTTATAAGTAATAAACGTGTCTGAGTGATTATTTTATATGTGGATTGTGGGACTGGGGGCTTGGTGGAACCTGGAGAGAAGCCCTCTAACAACAAATATGAAACAGCAAATCTGTACTCCAGGGGCCAAAATGAGCAAACTGGAAATCAACTTATCCAATCTCAACAATTAGCAGCAATGATCCGCAAGTATTTCAGTAGTCTGTAAACCTGAGGGAAGGCACACTTTCAAGCACATATCATAAAAGAAGCATTTACCTAGTTTCCAAACCATGTAAGACATTTAAAAAAGATTCTAGTATCAGACAATATCCTTGTGTGACAGATTGAAAAAATCTGAATGAGAGTAATTGATAGCTCCTATCAAATTCAACAACACATTAATAAGACCAGACTTCTTGATCAAGTTGTCTTTAACCAGGAACACCCAAGATTTGTCAACGGACACAAATTGCCAAAGAACACAGCTTACACACCACGTGAGGAGTCCTAAATCAGATATCAGTGGAATGAAATGACTAATTCAGGAGGAAACCTGGGATTAGTGAAAGTGTTACTACAATCAGCAAGTTCCACAAACAAAAGTGTCACATTTTGTTCACTCTAGGTCATGAGCAGGCAGGGGAATAGCCTGTGTATATGGTTCCAATTCAATGGGACTTGTACCATTGAAAAAGTTCTTGTCCAATTCAATGGGTTGGTGATTTTTTAACTTATTTTTCGTTAATATATTAAATTAATTATTAAATCATTTTTTCATTCACGTTCTTGCTCCCAAGGACAAATGCCCTTAGCAGAGAGGGCTGCTATCCCTCCCCATTCCACTCTTGTTACTTTTTCAGAAGCCACAAAGATTCATTGCTGTCACAAAGTCATACATACATTGATCATATCTCTCCCACCCACCCCATGAATACGATCAATGAGGTCCCCAAGTAGCCTAAATTCCAGATCCCATGCTCTGTCATGTAGCATAGTTCCTATGTTAACCAAGCCTGCTTCGTGGTGTTGAAGCAACTACTTTCCCCTCAGAAACCATGAAGTTCATGGAGATATACTTTGTCTGGCAGGAATAAAACTCCTTCAGAAACCCAGTGAGTGTCCAGTCCATCTTTGCTAATGACCTTTTGTCTGAAAGGAAGATCGATCCTAGCATCACTGTCCTTCTGTATGCTCTGGCCATTCCGTCCCTCCCCTCATGAAATGTAGGAAATACAGCTAGGTGGTGGTGTCACATGTCTTTAATGCCAGGACTTGGGAGGCAGAGCCAGGGGGATTCGTCCTCACATACAAATTGACACAAAGCAGAGCATGCACACAACATTGAGGTAAGTCCTATATCAGACATCAAAAAAATGAAATGCCTTTTTCAGGAACACATTTGGAACTAGAGAAAGTGTTACTTCAAATATTCCAGTTCCACAAACACAAGTTTCACATTTTGTTTCCTAGGGGTCCTGAACATGTAGAGGGAAGAACGTTAGATCATTAGGAAGTACTTGTCACAGTCGATGTGTGGATAAGTCAAATAGAGCATGTACATAGGATCAAAATGCAACATAGTCAGATTGGGAATTCAGGATTAAATTCCTCATGCCATAGAGATAATCTATACCAGTATGTGTGTAAATTACACACAAACAAAGGCAAAAATGACAAAGAAAAGAAGTTGATAAAAGGAAAATGAGGTGGAACGAGGAAAAAGAACTTACAGGCAAAAATCAAAACCCAAACCAATGATGTCAATAAAGCAATGAATAGATACCAAGAGACAAAAGCCCAAACTTAAAACCAGGTTAATGTACTCACTAAGTTGAGAATCCTACAGGTTTTGCAAAGTCCAAATCTAGCAGATACAACTGAATCCAACTGCTCTTCAGAGAACCAACTGCTTCTCTGAAGTACAAAGATGAAACCCAGCCCTATGTGGCGCCCTTTTATTGGCTGATATCTAGCTTACATCACTTGGACTCCTTGTGATGTCACATGCAATGGTCCATTCAAGGCTTGGCAAAATCCATAGTGATTTTTTTCTCTCACTTTCTTGTTTCTGCCACTCTACTTCTAATTTTTCTCATGTGTGGTCTAATAGTTGGCAAAGAAGGCAGAGTTTATTTAACTTAAGATTTATAGAAACACAATTCAACACAAGGGGAGGAAATAATATCGTGGACATCAGCAGAGTTGTCCAGTCAGTCATATGGCATTTGTAATCTTGATATTCTTGTCTCATATCCTTGTCCTCCCCAAGTAGTATTAGTGTGATCTTAAGCATGTGTCTCTAGTCAGGCAGTGTCAAGTTACCTTTTAGTTGCCATGACAGATACAGTCAATCAGTGGTTCTTTCTCTCCTCCAGTCCTCTCTCATTTAACACTAAAATGCATGAGATACATGACCTTGAACTGACCATGTTGAAAAGTGTCCTATTCTCCTTCAATGAGCATCTTCCATAATTGACACACTGCTGAAAATATGTAGAAACACTACATAAAATCCCTCTAGCTTCTATGTTCCAGGAAGACACTGTCTTCCAATCAATGCCCAGGCTCTCCTTACCTGCTTCAGTTAGTAAAACTTCTCCTGCCTTTGTGTCTCATCTCTGCTTACTTTGGCTCTGTAGTCACCAACCAACCACCAAACATTAAAGACCATCAGCTCAAATTTGAAAATTATTTTCCATTGTTATAAAATCAGAATGAGATATAGTCACTTTTTGTGAATGGTTTTTTGCCTGCATTGTCTGTCTATCTGTGCACTACCCTCCTCTGTGTCTGCAGAGGCCAGTAAGAGGGTCTTAGATTCCCATGACCTGCAGTTACAGATGTGGGTGCTTGGATACATACCTGGGCTAATTGGAAGAGTATCTGATGCTTTTTATTTTTTAATTTATTTTTTTGAGACAGAGTTCTTTTGTGTAGCCTGGCTATCCGGGAACTCACTATGTAGACCAGGCTGCCCTCATATCTAGAGGTTCTGCCTACCTCTGCCTCCTGGGAGCTAGGATTAAAGGTGTGCACCACCACCACCAGGTTATCAGCATGATTCCTTGCTGCTGGTGCAGCTAATTATGATATTCTGAGTTGGAAGTAAGGATGCTAACATTAACAAACTAAATAAAGTTGGCTTCTAAGGAAGCCACTACATGTTTCAGGAAAGACAGCCCAGGACAATCCATAGACAAAGAGAGCAATAACCAAGACCACAGCTGTTAGAGAAGAAGGCAAACTTATTTAATTTCCATGTTTGGACACCTACAAGGTCAAAGGCACCAAAGACAGGCAGGCTATAGCAAAAGAATATCCGTGTTGATTAGGTTTTGTCAACTTGACAACAACCTGGGTTATCTAGGAAGAGAGATCCTCCATTGAGAAACACTTTCATGAGATTGCCTGTAGGGGCATTTTCCTTTTTCGGTTAATTTTTTCCTTCCTTCCTTCCTTCCTTCCTTCCTTCCTTCCTTCCTTCCTTCCTTCCTTCCTTCCTTCCTTCCTTCCTTCCTTCCTTCCT